TCTTAACGTTATAACGTTTTTAATATAAAACTATACATATTTTTCTCTGTTCTGGTAAGTATGTATATATATATATATATATATGGAAGATATAGAACATTATATATATATATATGTTGTGTTTCATATTTTATATATAACATATACTGTATTTTATTTTAATTTTGTTAGTGACTACTGTAAATACTCTACTCTCCAGATATTACGTTCTTGATTCCCTTGTACTTTTTAATACTGTTTCAATAATAATTATTTCCGCAAATTTTCACTGTATATAGGCACTCGCATAAACACTCGTATGTTTAATCCCCTGTATTTTCCAGCTCTGGTATCGAGAAGAATGGGTTTTATAAATTTTCTTCTCCCACATATCACGCATCTTTAATCCCCTTGTATTTTCCAATATCGTTACCAATAACAGTGATTTGTATAGCTAGCATGTGTTCCCGCTGACGTTTTAATCACCTGACAGATAGGGTAGGTTTTAAAAGCTCGCGATGAAAACTTGTTTACCGGAAGACACAGGATTTTTAGTTAATCGCGACACAACTGTTAATCTTCCACGAACCCCGATGAACGAATTACTTTGACAAGCGACCGTTTTAATTATCTCTTCGCTGAACGGGCATCTCATCGATTCTTCTATCTCTATCCACCCTCTTTTCTATCCCACCGATATATCGCTACCCAACAAAGACCTCGTTATTCCCGCTGTTATTATTATTGTTTCCTGTACGTTTCATAACAATAACTCATACGGGAGGAACGAATTACTCATTTTAAATAGGATGAATCTCCCATTCATCCGCGCCAACCGCGCATAATTACCATTTTACGATTCCATTACCAGCTTCGCCCCTGTGAACGAGGAGTAAGCGAGCAGCCGAGATACTGCTCTTTCTCTTCGTAGTTCGTTGACGGCGATAATCGTTCTTCGGACAAAGACGACGATTAAAATAAAAACCACGCTGCCGCGGAGACGCGTTCCGGAAGTGGCGACGGAGAAGAGAGGTAAAGGGGGGCAGAAAAAAAGAAGAAACAGGAAAGGCAGAAAAGAAGGAAGGAAAATGAAATGGGAGGAACGATGGTCGGACGATGAAGGGAGGTTAGGGAAAGGCAGGAAAAAAGGGAGAAAGAAAAGAAGAGATATGATAGGCAAGTAATGACAGAAACATGGTGAAGGGAGATTAAAAAGAGGAAGGAACGCAACAGACAATTGGTAAATGGAAGGGTAAATAATGAAAGAAATACAGAAGAAAAGAAGACAAATAAAAGAGAAGAAACAACAGACGAATCCTGGCCAGAAGGAAGGCTAGAAAGAGGAAAAATAAAAATAAAAAAGAAGAAATGACAGATAGATAATAATAATAATAATAACGAAAAATAAAAGAGAAGAAACGATAGATAGATAATAATAATAAAGAAAAATAAAATAGAAGAATCGATAGATAGATAATAATAATAAATAAAACTAAAAGAGAAGAAACGATAAATACATAACAATAATAAAGAAAAATAAAATAGAAGAAACGATAAATAGATAATAATAATAAATAAAACTAAAAGAGAAGAAACGATAGATAGATAATAATAATAAATAAAACTAAAAGAGAAGAAACGATAGATAGATAATAATAATAAATAAAACTAAAAGAGAAGAAACGATAGAGAGATAATAATAATAAATAAAACTAAAAGAGAAGAAACGATAGATAGATAATAATAATAAAGAAAAATAAAATAGAAGAAACGATAGATAGATAATAATACAGAAAAATAAAAGAGAAGGGAAAGCAGACGAATGCTAGTTAAAAAGAATGCTAAGAAAATAAAAGAAAAATAAAAGAGGAGAAACAACAGTCGAATGCAAGCCAAAAGAAAGACCCAAAAGACAAGAAACAGCAAATGAAAGCCAGGAAGGCTGAAAAAGAGAAGAAAAATAGAAATAAAAGAGAAGAAACAATAGACAGATAATAAAGCAAAGGGGTAAAGAAGAAAATAAAGAAAGGAAAGAAACGGCAGACGGATGGGAAAAGTCGAGGAACGATTAAACGAGCGACAAATAAAAGGGGTATGGGCATCGGCTGCAAATTGAGATAACCGGTGAACCCGTTCGCCGTCTCCCTCCGCGACGCTATAATGCTGCATTAGAGTGTATTGTACGACGATCAGGCGGGATTTACACCCCCGGAATTGCGGCTTAAGGGGGCCAGAGATTTCCATATCCGCGGCCACGAATCGCGACTTTGTCCACTCGTTCCGGCGATGGAATTGGCCGCTGGATGGTTTTACGACGGTCGAAAGGAGCCACCAGGGATCGAGATTAAGCAATGAACTGGAATTAACGGGCAGAAACCCTGACCAGACACTGGCAGAATTATAAAATATCGAATGGGGTACGAACATCCCTTATACGCGGTTTCGACTATTTATTTTTGTTTTGGCGTCGAATGAAAATGTTGTGTATTATGATCGATAGAGGCATCTTTTATACTGCCAAAAGATTACATTTCGGTAAAATAGCAATTTGCAAGTGGAAGATTTTCAAATTTTGAGAAGAGAAGAGTTATAAATTTCAACGCGATGTTCATATTCGCTTGTGTCCACGACTCACGTCTCTCGCCCGTGATACTCGTGTTCGACCCAATCTCCTTACGAGTCTCGCAGGATATTACAGACAAAGGGGTTAACACGACTGCGATTTCATATAAAATTACCGTCATACTATAACAAACAGAACGTTATTAAAATAATTTGGTCTTCCAAGTATTAAATTATAAAATTACGGATTACTATACCGAAGAATTATTAATTATACATATGAAATGTGAATGCACCGAATTAGTAAGTATTAAAAATTATTAAAACCGAATTTATTTATAGAGGTATTTTATCTTCCTATTTTTATCAGTGAAGATGAAATCAGATAATAGATTGTAGGTTATCAATATTTCCGTAATGGCAGCAGACGACTGCAAAGGGTTAATATACCCGTTGTCATTAATATCGACAGACTTTTAATTCAGGTGCAAGCGTTGATATATCTGGTATAAATGAAAACGTCCATACAGGCAGCGTTACGAATATTGACAGATTTTTAATTTCCATGGAAATATCGCTCGTCCTCGTGAATACTTAAGAAAATCAATTTGCAGACTGAATTTTCATTAGACACCCCGTGCAACCCCATCCGCTGTAAATATAATTACACGTAGCTCGTGGGTTGAATATTCCTTAAGCTACCAAACCGATTAAAATCCCTAGCTTCAGATTTTTTATTTCTGCAATTTTTACAAATATGCAAAATTAATGACAAAATTAAAATTTGACCACCAAGCATTTTTCATATGGTAAATCGCGTAATTAATTCCGAAGCTTCGTTTATACCAGAAAAATCTCGAAATTTCCTTTTTTCCCCATTATTGATTCCGCTGACGAAGCAGTACAAACCCCATCGAAGATAATCGCGGACCATTACCTGAAAACAGTTCGAAATCGCGAGTTCCCTACCTGACAAGGCACTTTGATCGATGCTGACCGATCGGACACGGTTTTCCCGATCGTCAGCTTTCCTTTTCAATTTTTTTTTCGTCCCGGATTCGTCAGGCGAGCAACTCGCGTCAGTGAGAACGTGGCTTTCGCGACCCTTTTTATAGGGTATTTAGGGGGATCGTGGGATTATTCGAATCGACAGAGTTGGATAAGAGGTGGGAGAGCTTTAATCGACGCCGGCCTTGATTTATTGCGACACGAGCTGGCGTGATTGCGATCGTTTAACGTTCGAGTATCGTTTAGTGATTATTTATGGGTACCAACGTGGCTACGGGGTCTCTATGGAAATCGAGATCATTAGGATATATCTGCGTTCGCATAAATTTGTAGGCCTGTTAACCGAGTCATACGTTAGTCTGGTGCCCCCTCGATCACGAAAACAGAAATTAATTTCTTCGTTAATTATTACTCGCACGAAAATTCCCACGAACTTCGACTCATTTCGGATAACCAGGTCTCGGAATTTCGATGAGACGATAGTAATTTAACCGAGCACTTCTGTGCATCGAGGTACAATTTCCCAACGAGAGGCTTTTCTGTTCGAGTGCGGAGGTTTTACTCCAGTTGGCTTCGTTTGGTGAAGGGTTCGCCGTATACTTTGGAATTGCCTTCGTTACCAGCCATTCACGATCCTATCCGATACGTATTTCGTGTAAGAATAACAATTTGCGAAAATCCGAATATACGAAATATCCCATAACCGATGGAACAAATCATAGAGGGCGAATCTACGTGAAAAAGCAAGACGAAAATGTAGAATAACATTTTTGCATACGAGGCCCTGTTTTCGAGAAAATTCGCCTCGAACGTCTGTTGGCGTACCCTTTGTTTATGTCGTCACGTGACCAGATTTATGGATATTAATATTTATGACGAGAATAAATTATTATATTACAGTTATATATTATATTCGTGTAAAAGAGTTCGTTTCACTGAGAATACCTAAAAACACCAGATATAGTAACTTACAGCGAAATCTATCGACTTCAGCTATAACTATTTGTTACTAGATATAGTAACTTACGCGCTCGCCATTAAATTTTCAACCGCAATATTCTCCAAAATGGCTGCTCGTACGAAAAAATTTGTATTCCACATTTTTTACTTATTTTTTAACACAGAATTACCTCCATATCGATTTTATAGTCAGTTATACCTATACACGCTTATATACCGCTTCCCAATGAACCAAGGGAAATTCATTCTTCAATATCCTACCACACCAAACGAGGTCTACGAATTTTTCCACTAATTAATTCGTCTCTATCTCAACTGGAATCACAGATAGCTATGCGCCAACAGACACGAACAGCGTTTGAAAAGCCTGGATGGAGAGGTCTCGTTTCGCGACGGGCTTCGAAATTAACGGGAAAAGATAACGAGAAGCGACTCGACACGCGTTCGTGACAGCTCGAAACCGACACAACGCGAACATCGATCGTTCCCGATTTTTCGCGCGCCCCTATTCTTCCGCTGGGGTTGCACGAGGACGCGGGAGAATCGAAGAGGATTCGCGAAGGGGTTCGCCGCGTGCCGGAGTTTCGAGTGTAATTTAATTTGAAATGCAGACTGACACACAACGGCGTTTCGGGTTAAACGGATTAAACGAGGACGTGCAACGCGTGCTGAACACCCTCGCAGCTAATTGCGAATCCCTTAATTGCAAGCCGCGGAAAGTATTCCGCAGTCGTTGCGATTTCCCGATCGCACTCGTAATTCTCCATCGGCGTTTGAAATACAAATTTCGATCGCAGACCTGGTCGATGTGTTTTTAAAAAGAAACTTGATTTTCAGAATTCCTTGCAGGGTACTTTCGCTGATTATTGCGACGAGTGAACGTATGATTCCGTTTGAGAGCTCGGGTGCCCCTGTGAGCTCGTTATATTCCATGATCTTCCTCCATTGTTCCGTTAATGCGCGATTGTTATGTGTGAATAAGAGTACCCTGCTTTCAATTTATAATTTCGATTTTAGATCGAAGAGTTTCTCACTTTGAAAGCGAAATTAAACCGTACGTGAGAAATCAGTGCAAATGATCTTTCAGCACCAGGGTACTGGTATCACGCCATAGTTAATGAAAATAATCATTAAAAGAAAAAAGGGAGAGACGAAACGCTTTTGTCTGATATTTATATACGTGACCGATGCTGCAGTTACAGTTTTTGACAGCTGAACAGTTTGACAGTCCAGTTGATAATCAACGTTTGGCAGAGCTTTCAAACATTGAAGCAAGAGACGCTTTTGTCTGATATTTATATACGTGACCGATGCTGCAGTTACAGTTTTTGGCAGCTGAACAGTTTGACAGTCCAGTTGATAATCAACGTTTGGCAGAGCTTTCAAACATTGAAGCACAGTTGACAATTAACATTTGGCAGAGCTTTCAAGCATCTGAAGCACAGTTGACAATCAACGTTTGACAGAGCTTTTAAGCATTTGAGGCACAGGTGATAATTAACATTTGGCAGAGCTTTCAAGCATCTGAAGCACAGTTGACAATCAACGTTTGGCAGAGCTTTCAAACATTTGAAGCACAGTTGACAATTAACGTTTGGCAGAGCTTTCAAGCATCTGAAGCACAGTTGACAATCAACGTTTGACAGAGCTTCTAAGCATTTGAAGCACAGTTGATAATCAACATTTGGCAGAGCTTTCAAACACCTGAAGCACAGTTGACAATCAACGTTTGACAGAACTTCTAAGCATTTGAAGCACAGTTGATGATTAACATTTGGCAGAGCTTTCAAGCATCTGAAGCACAGTTGACAATCAACGTTTGGCAGAGCTTTGTGATATGTCAGGAAAACTATCTTCTCATTTACTAATATCTATGACTAGTCACGTGTATCTGTTTGGATCTACCGACTAGTTTCTTTAGACCTAGTTCAGTAGACCTACTATTCCCAAATCGTGGATTCAACTCGTAAACTATGAAAAATCGGATTTGGGTTGGTCACGGTTGACCATATTTTGACCCAACACTTCTACCAAAGCCAAAGAGACGAACAGATCTTCTTCGTGTCATTACGTAACGTAATTAGATAATCGTCAGAACCCAAACACCATCAGGAACCTAAGCTCATCCTCGTGGTCAGCAAACCTGTCATTGTCAAACTTCATCCAAAGTACTCGAATGTAAACTCGGTACGTTAAGAAGGGAAAGACGATCCAACTCACCTGTACATGATGTAGCTGCGTAAGCTGATGATGCTGCAGCGGATTTGGCGGAGGCGTGCTCGGCGAGCTGACAACCTGAACGGTTCCATGCTGCTGCAGATACGGTTCCAGGAAGACATCGCTCCTGCGAACAGAGAAAACAAGTCTCGTTTACTCTCGTTTCGTTAATTAGCCTCGTTCTGTCAGTCGTCCGCTAGAATTCGCCTGGACAAATAAGTAACGCGATTTCGAGCCGCTTTCACGCGGTTAGAAAGACCATTAGCATTCCCCGCGACGTCGCGCGACTATAATTAACAACTTTCAGTGGCTGAAATTGCGCAGATCGGATCTGCGGATCCGTCACGATAAAATCGTTAGGCATTCGCAACGTTGCACCACTGTGACATAGTAAATCACGTAAGGCTAGACGAGGAAATAAGAAGCCAAGACGGGGACTCCAGAGGTCTAATTTGAGTAGAAGTATGTGACAGAGGGCTGCTTATACTCTGCGCGTTTCGTTACGAGCATGCACCTTGAGTTTACGTAACCAAGTGTGCAAATTTTTCTTGGTGGATCTTCCCTCGGGATTGTTTCGATGCTCAGAATTAGTCTTAAGAATTGGGTTCAACAAAGGACGATTAATCAGTAACTGGTCTCGAGGATTTGGTTTATCTTAGGGGGTGATTGATCGATAATTAATCTTCAGGATTTGGCACATCGTAGGATGTATTTTAATTACTTGTAAAGGCCAGGTGGATTATGAGATTCTCCAGACTTTGAGCGATAGGCTTCAACTAAATGATGATTAATATAGATGCAGAGACTTAGGCTGGGAATTTTTCCTGGTAGTATTCTAACTTCTGTCATTAGTCTCGAAGGTTTTGTTCGATGTCAACTACATTTTGGACGATTATAAAAATTTAATGGATTATGAGATCCTTCAGATTTTGATCGACAGGCTTCACTTAAATAATGATTAATATGGATACAGAGACATGGATTGGGAATTTTTCTGGTAGTATTCTAACTTCTGTCATTAGTCTCCAAGGTTTTGTTCCATGTCAACTACATTTTGGACAACTTAAAGATTTAATGGATTATGAGATCCTCCAGTTCTCCAGTAATAAAGTACTATTAAATCAAATGCTAGATAGTTGTTCGTATCAGAGAGCAGAAAACTGTCATTTTGTCCCGAACTTCTGGTAAGATATTCTGGTAGGTTGACAACAGAGGTTCCGCGTTAATTTAATCCTTATTGGACGTTAGCATTTTATACGTGATTCTCACTAGGTTGTAACTGGTCTCAGTAAATATGCGAACAATTTCTGTCTTGTCACCTCCCATGTGACGCACGACCGCAGAGACAAAGTACTGTTGTTACATAAGGATTAATAACAGGGCAGAACGATCATCCCTTCTTCCAACTGTGAGTTAGCAAACCAAATTTTGATATCTATTTAATACCAATTTTATTAGATATTTTCACATCTATGCAAAAATATGTCAAGTGGTCAAATACATAAAAAACACACCCCCAGTCCCACTTTACCAAAAAATCCAAATTAAACGCAACCACGACTATAAAGATCATCTCCAACCACCCTCCACTCGATAACCTCAACGTTAATCAAACGTTTAAAGAAAGGAAAGCAAGCAAATCCCCTGAGCGAAGAAGAAAGCTGGTCTTCGATGTGTAAGAGCCCTCCTGCGCTAGGGTACTCGTTTCTCCTAGCAAATACCAGGTTCTTCCGTCCCATTTGCCTCGGAAAGCCACGGGAATCGGGTGAAATCTCGGGAGAAAGGCCGCGAGGGGTGGAGGCGAGCACAAAAGTGGCTGGAACCGTTCAATTCGGCATCGCGAAGCGCCGGGCAGCAGACCTCTCGTTACCTGCGCCATAGCTCTGACGCAGGTAATCGCTTAGAAACTCGCGGATAAATCCTCCGTGGCGTGTTGGGCCGCCTCCGCTCCACTCGAGGGGACAATGCACGCTTTGTAAACAGACCTGCACGCCGGCGTAATTTCCGTCGAGATGGCGGAGAGAAACCGCTGGCCCCGTGACGAGCCCTGGACTAATTGATCCTGGGATCCCGGCTCCGGGGATTGCACCGGGCGATCGGGACGGAGCTTGGATTTCGGGCAATTTCCGACTTTCGTTGCGAGATTGCAGAGAAGAACAGCTGGAGTAATTGGACGAGTGGGTGAGTCACTTTTCTGGAGGACCTTCATTATCCATCCCAGCGAATTTTAACTGCTTTATTTGGTACAGGTTCTTTTATGTTTTACAGGTTTTATTTGTACGATGAATTATGCGATTGATTTATGAAGAAACAAAGGGAGTCGAGTAATATACGAGTTATATACAGAAGCCAATGCGTTCACAAAATAAAAATTGAGAAAATTGATTTTTATCAATACGTAAAACGCTTCCTTTTCTCACGAAGGGTTATCTGACCTAAAGAAATTGAAGTAACGAGTCAATCCTTCAATAACTATAAAGAGTATTTTACTGTATAGTATATACTCTCAATGTTTGGTAGTATTTTACTACTATATATTCCATTAAATTTTACAAAAATCAGGAAATGATACAAATAATATGTTTTACAGGTTTTATTTATGCAATGAATTATGCGATTGATTTATGAAGAAACAAAGGGAGTCAAGTAATATACGAGTTATATACAGAAGCCAATGCGTTCACAAAATAAAAATTGAGAAAATTGATTTTTATCAATACGTAAAACGCTTCCTTTTCTCACGAAGGGTTATCTGACCTAAAGAAATTGAAGTAACGAGTCAATCCTTCAATAACTATAAAGAGTATTTTACTGTATAGTATATACTCTCAATGTTTGGTAGTATTTTGCTACTATATATTCCATTAAAATTTACAAAAATCAGGAAATATCAAAAAATCGACTTAACCGCATTGGCTTCTGAGTAACTCATGTAATATTCGATCAAATAATTTATAGGCGGTGTGATAAGGGTGAAATGAAGGAATAGGAGTCTCACACTGAGATTCTTATTAACTGCTGGAAGTTGTCCGATGACTCTGATGACTCATATCATTTTAGATTTTTGCAGAATATTTGAAAATTATCGTAGGGGATTGGTTGGAAGCCAGTGATCCATACTAAAGTCCTTTAGTACGTTTATGGTAAATTTAATGTACATAGAGAGTACACCATAGACACTATTATACTCTTGCTCAACAATGGATTCAATCTCTTCCGTTATTGACAATAGCCTAGTACCGTTTAGACATGCTTTCTAATCATTTTTCAGCGTAGGAGTCTCTAGAACTTTCGAATCTATTGAAGCTCTTTAATACAAAAGCTCGCTCTATGTTTGTTCATTATAATAGACCACGCAATCATATTTTTAATACAATTTGCATCAGGTTATTACAATGATCAATCCCACACGATATATACTACACGGTATAAATATTAATATCGGAATTATTTTCATAAAATTATAAAATTTAAATTGACCTATATGCTTTAGTTAATTGCAAAATTAAAAATTCTGAATTCAAATGTCATTTTGAATATTTTGGTAATTCTAGGGTTATTTCTCATAAGTAATTTCTCATAACTCTAAGCAAAATTTTTGTATACCTCACAAAATTCATATATATTTTATATAAATTACGACGAAAATGGAAAGCTTCTTTTAAAATTTGACAATTTTCTTACAACCTTGCGAGCAATCTTAATTAAGAATTCCCATTGCTTCCATCAAACGTAACAAACGTATCAGAGTCGTAGCCAAAGACATCGCTGTTCTTCAAGCATAACAAGAATCCACCAGGGAGACGTCGTCGCATCGCGAAATTAACGTCGACTTAACGATGCCTCTGGTATCCGCTAATTATACCGATAATCCGTACTCGTGTAAAGCGATTCGAGGCCCATCGGGACGTCGCGCCCTGGCTCTTAATTAATGATCTCATTAGACTCCGAAAAGTCTCCCCAATGACCTCTCTTACGGCCACGTCCACCCCGCGACCCTTCCAATTCCCTCTTTACCTCTTTCCATGTCACTCCAACGATTGCCAAATTTTTTCTCACCAAACTCCAATTTATTTATCACCTGGTACAGAACGAGGCCAGTCGCCTCGACCGAACAGACCTCTGTGCGTTCTGTCACTTAACGATTACCAAATTTCCTCTCTCTGAGCTTCACTGATTTGTTTATCACCTGGACCAGGTTGAGGTCAGTTGTTTCGGACGAAGGGACCGTTTTATGGGCCCTGTCATTTCATAATTACCAAATTTCTTTTCTCTCTGACCTCTGTCGACTTGTTTATCACCTGGACCAGGCTGAGATCAGTCATATCGAGCGAAGAGACATCTGCTTGTTCCGTCATTTCGCGATTTAAGATTTGTCTTACCGAGTTTCATTGATTTATTTATCACCTGGACCAGGTTGAGGTCAATTCTTTCGGACGAGGAGACCTCTGTATGCGTCCTGTCACTTCAGGATTACTAAATTTTGTTCTTACTGAGCTTCACTGATTACTTTATCACATGGACCAGGTTGAGGTCAGTTCTATCGGACGAAGAGACCTCTGTATGCGTCCAATCATCTTCACGATTACCAAATTTTTACTCTCCGAACTTTAGTCACGTCAAGATCAGTTATCTAGACGGTAGAGATTAGGTGTCCTGTCACTCCACGATCACCAAATTTTTTCTCCTCGAACTCTACCGATTTTTTCATCACCTGGACCATGTCGAGGTCAGTTCTTTCAGACGAAAAGACCTCTGTATGCGTCCTGTCATTCCAGAATAATCAAATTTTTATTCCTCGATCTCTACCGATTTGTCCATTACCTAACCCATCTCGAGATCACTCATCTCTAGGTGTCTTGTCAATCCACGATCACCAAATTTTTACTTCTCGAACTCTACCGATTTGTTCATCACCTGGACCATATCAAAGTCAAATATTTCGGACGAAGAGACCTCTGTATGCATCCTGTCACTCTAGGAATACCAAATTTCTGCTCCTCGATCTCTACCGACCTTTTCATCACCTGGACCATGTCGAGCTTAGTTTTTCGGGCGAAGAGACCTCTGTATGCGTCCTGTCACTCCAGAATAATCATATTTATTCCTCGATCTCTACCGATTTGTCTTTCGCTTGGACCATGTCGAGATCAGTCATCTCTAGCTATCCTATCACTCCACGATCACCAAATTTTTACTCCTCGATCACTACCGATTTGTCTATCACCTGGACCACGTCGAGATCAGTCATCTAGACGAAAGATATTAAGTGTCCTGTCACTCCCCAGTCTCCAAATTTTTCCTCCTGGAATTTTCCCAATTTCTTCATCACCTGGTCCACGTCAAGGTCAGCTTTTTTCGGACGAAGAGACCTCTGTATGCGTCCTGTCACTCCAAAATAATCAAATTTATTCCTCGATCTCTACCGATTTGTCTTTCGCTTGGACCATGTCGAGATCAGTCATCTCTAGCTATACTATCACTCCACGATCACCAAATTTTTACTCCTCGATCACCACCGATTTGTCCATCACCTGGACCACGTCGAGATCAGTCATCTAGAAGAAAAATATTAAGTGTCCCGTCACTCCCCGGTCTCCAAATTTTTCCTCCTGGAATTTTCCCAATTTCTTTATCACCTGGTCCACGTCGAGGTCAGTCGCCCCGAACAAAGAGACCGCTGTACGCGTTCTCCCGCGAACGGGAACGCGGTATCGCGTTGCGTATCGTAGCTAATTGCGCCACGTTACTAGTCACCATGCGTCAGAATCTAGGGAGTAAGTGGCGCGTTACGCGGAAACGCTAGTGCTAGATTAACGACGCCGGTTTTTATGCGTCCTAGAGTATTT